AATCGTACGGTGTCGAATAATTTGGTGTCGAATAAATCTGTGTCGAATCGAGCGGTGTCGAATCGTACTGTGGTCAATAGAGTATCACCCGTTGCACTTTTATTCAATTTTTTTTCATACAAGGGATATATAGTATATTGCTCATAATATTCATCATTTTCATTAATAATCTTGGTCAACATTGCCTCATGTTGATCGTCAACAACTGCAATCTCTACATGATTTTTTATCNTTTCTATCTTTTGTTCTATACAGTGTGATAATTCACGACATTCTTCATCTGATATATCTTCTTTCTCAGTTTCTGTCTCTTGCGAGCAAAATTCCGCATTATTTAATTTGTCCAAATGTAACTCATCATAGGTTTTTGGTAATACAATATGAGAANATAAAGGATTGTTGTCTTTTAACCATTTTAAAGCGTCGAATACATTTTTAATATTTACTAATTCTTTCAAGTTTAATTACATGTTTAAAAAAATGAACATACAATTTTCATACAGAAATATTTCTCGATTAAATAAATACATCAAAACACACAAGGACTAAATCCCCTTAGAAAAAAACAAAAATGTAGTATATCGTATAGAATGTGAAAACATGCAATGCAAACTATGTTGGACAAACAGGAAGACAACTAAATACTAGAATAAGAGAACACATAAATTATGTTAAAAATAAAATTGACACTTCTGTATTGTATAAACATTCTTCCACTATCGGTCACAATTTTAACTGGAACTAAGTCACTATACTTGACAAAGAACCTAACTACTATAAACGGACTACATCTGAAATGATTTTTATAAAAATGTATAATAATACTTTGAACAAAATGACTGATTCCGATTTACTTGATAAAACTTACTTACCATTAATCGATAAGATCCATTGACTCTCTACCTTTTGACTTTTAATTTTAACTTTGTTGACAACCGTTAGCTTGTTGTTTGTTTCTCAGTGTGTGACTTTCCTAACATCATAGACACACATGACTATATGTAAACATCATTTTGTGAAGTGTTCATAGGTACGTTTTCAATTTAATTTTAATTTTTTTATAATTATTTTATATTTATCGTAGTTTGTTTGATATTTTGTAATCATTGCCAAATTTATCTTTATATATTTTGTATTTTTTTTTTGCATAGTCTTACGACTGAGGATGACTAAATAAACAGTCGAAACGTTTCAAAAAAAAAATTATTTTGTTATTTTTATTTGCAATACACCCTGCACATTGGTTCATTTTCGCCGTTCTTAAACATTCATTGGATTTTATCATATTGAACCGGAGGACACCTCTCACTTCTTTACATAATTTTTACTAATTCTTTTCAGATAATTTATGACTTTGTAGGAATACTTCTAACTAAGATAATTAATTCAGGATTTATGTTTAGTGGATCTGTATCGGAAGATAATTTATTTAATGTCTCTTGTAAAGGAAGTGGTAAATGAAATGTTTTACCTTTGACCTTTTGCACCATTTGTCTTTGAGGCATATTTTTGTTCATAACTGTTCCCATTTTAACAACAGTTTGAAATGCTTTTGCTCTCTGTATAAGAATCTTTTCGAATGAATTGAGAGAAGATATTCAGGCACATCATCTACAATGAAACTATTCAAAACGCAATACGCAGGCATTAGACCTTGACGAAATTTTCGTTCACAATAATTACATATATATTCCGAATTTATGGTTTTGCGCTCGACATATGTCATTAATTCTCTCCACACTAAAATATCTATTTGTCTTTGAAGTTTTTCGACATTAGAAATATTTCTTTCATAGCAAAGTCTCTCACATGACACGCAAACATATTCTGGTGTGTCCATTAAGGGGATCCTAAAGTGGGTCTGTTTTATCGATAGAACTGAATATTTTTTCAACACACTATTTTTTTGTTTGGCTGTATAGATTGACAAATCCTTTTCTACAATTAAAGTACATATAATAAACGATACGGGAGGTCCAAATAAATATAACACAATAGAAAAAAATTAAAAAAGTACAGTTT